AACCTTTAACGACGAACAGGAGAACTGCAAACCGAAACAAGTCGACTTGCACGATCCACCCCTTAACAGTTCACGCCCGCTTCCGCCTCAAGCAGCACCACCCACAACACGTAGATCGAAAGTCCCGGTAACCCGACACGTCCTCAGACAATCACCGTGCTGACTTGCGATCAGGCGGTCACGTAATCCATTGGACGACGAACAGCGCAGACAACTCCCCCACGCAGCACAACACGCGGTCACCGCCGCGACAACACCCAATCTCCGCAAGGCAACGAACCCACCGGCTGTGACGCAATTCCTGTCGCCTGGATCCTGAACGGAGACACACGCGTCGCCTCGGCATGGGAGAGCGCACCGCTAGAAAAATTCCCCCACGCCACGGGTCGAGCTTTCTCTCTATCTCTCGCGTCTCCGGTGTCCGCGGCTCCCAGCCTCGACGCGTTACAGCACCGCCGGCCGCATATATCTCTCCGATACCGGAGAGTGGATGGCGAAAATCTCCACAGGCGATCGCCGCCGCGCTGAAGGGAAGTGGCGTTGTTTTCAACCGCGGCCAGTGACGCCGCTATTACATCAGACTTCCCTCTGTCCAGCCCGGGGCTTCTCAACCTGGAGTCTAGCACAGTGGAATATTTTGTATACTGACAATATTGATTTTCTAGTTTAAATAAACGAATGAAAGAATTTCTCAATAGAATTTCGAAATTTAATGCAAATACTATTTGGTACTGAGTTATTCTTTGATAATCCTATTGGTGGTTAATTTATTTACAATTAACTGATAGTCATTTATTATTAGATTAACTGATTTCAACCGCGGCCAGTGACGCCGCTATTACATCAGCCTTCCCTCTGCCCAGCCCGGGGCTTCTCAACCTGGAGTCTAGCACGGTGGAATATTTTGTATACTGACAATATTGATTTTCTAGTTTACATAAACGAATGAAAGAATTTCTCAATAGAATTTCAAAATTTAATGCAGATACTATTTGGTACTGAGTTATTCTTTGATAATCTTATTGGTGGTTAATTTATTTACAATTAACTGATAGTCATTTATTATTAGATTAACTGATTTCAACCGCGGCCAGTGGCGCCGCTATTACATCAGCCTTCTCTCTGCCCAGCCCGGGGCTTCTCAACCTGGAATCTGTGACGTTGGAATATTTTGTATACTGACAATATTGATTTTCTGGTTTAAATAAAGGAATGAAAGAATTTCTCAATACAATTTCGAAATGTAATACAGATTACTAGTTAATACTGAGTTATTATTTGATAATTTAATTTGGTGGTTAATTTATTTACTATTAACTGATAGACATAACGAAGCTTTCCGAAGTGTCCATCTCCAATTTGGCTGAAATTTCGGATATGTTGTTAGATGAAGAAATAAGCCTTACATTTTTTCTTCGAACAAAGCTTTTCAAGGTCTGAAATCATCCTCCAAAAGTGAAACCGTAAAGAGGTGATTTCTGTTTTGCCGAAATAATCCATTGCGAGCAAACACACTACAAAAATGGATACATTGCGAATACTCTTAGGTGAATTTTCTTTTCGTTAGTATAAGTAGAAAATTACTCGAAAATATAAAATAAAATTTAAAAATGTTGCCTAGACTAATCAAATAAGATTACAATGCAAAAAAAGAAAAGGAAGAAATGTTATACTTCTCTTAGAAACAAAATCGACTTGATACATTTTTAGTGTTTTTCGGGGTAACTACCATTAATTCATACTGTGATTTTCCCTACAACAAATAGTTTACGATAATTTCTCATTCAAATTTTTTAAACTTTTAAATGATAAAATTTGGAAAATCCTCTATGAAGAGTTGATTATTTTGATATAACAGAATTAAACCACTCCGCCAACTCACCGAATATGCCTAGAATAGGCGGCGACCTGTGCGTTCTACACGCACCTTCAATTGAATTATTAATTGACTACTTCATCTTCAAAATCCAAATTTTGTTTTCGCTTGCAGTTTTATCATGCGCTAGGAACCCTTTTTCAAGGTATTCTGAATTCAACGTGAGAAGTCTGTAAACAACGTGTAGCTGAGCTGCCACCAACTCCAATAGCCTGGTTTACTCATGACTTTACTTCATCTTAAAATAATTAATGAAGTTGTTGTGGTAAGATATCTTTGGCATTTTTAAAATAATTAAAGATGTTGTCATTGCCAACAATATATATATATATATATATATATATATATATATATATATATATATATATATATATATATATTGTTGGCAATAACATCTTTAATTATTTTAATTAATGAAGTGTGAAGCAAATGTTTCATATGAAACCGGTAGAAATATTGCGTTTGAAGAGACAAATCTGTGCGCTTAAGATTAAGATTTTTTTACATATTCATTTAAAGATTAAATTAAAACTAATAACTATTAATTCGTATGGTTAAATTTCAAAATTGAGATTGATAAAAGGATAAATCAGTATCCATAGTGAAATACTGTGAAGGTTCTTATTTTTCCTTTAGTGAAATATATTTACTAATAAGGGAAAACAGAAATATTTATTTAATTTAGTATCGATGATTTTATAGTATAGACCATAAACTTAAACAAGGTAACTTACCGTTTGATTAAATCAAATAAAAAACCTTTCAAGATTCAAATCAAAATAAAACATTTATTTATAACATTAACTAATACTTATGAAAAGAATCAATAACGAGAAGAGCTTTACACAAGCAATTAAAATAAAAAAAGAACTTTACGGTCCGTTCGTATTCCAATATACGTCCTACCGCTCATGTGCACAGATCGTCAAACATTACTCATATCCTTCCCACATCCTTCAGTTCCTCCAAGACATGCACTCCCTGATGATGATTACATGATTAAATTACTCAGTCCTCACTTCCGACTGAACCGTCTTACAGTTTATCAAATGTCGTCTTCCACCCGACCATACATCAGAGTGAACTCAGTAAGACATTAATTCCAATCCTGGTTATTGATTTTTATATTTTTTGTGTCTTGTCTGTCCTTATGGTTTATACAGGTGGGCCGTGAACACGAACATCGAAAGTCTTCAATTGTCTTTACAATACATAATATTTCTTTCTTTCGAAAAAACATTAAATTATACCACACGAAATTGACAGAAAAATGAAAATGGATTATTCTAAGGCGCAACACAAGATGCCTAATTTTATTCCGCTTCATTTAATAACACTCGCCACGTCTAATTTCACTCGCGGCTAGTTATTACTTAAACATAATGCAGACCGTATGAAGCAAGTGCAGCTCATATGAATTAATCAAGCAAACGAAGCGTGCAGGAACCTGATTGTCACAGTTCAACGCAGTCGGATTCATCCGTACAGTCACATCGTCCTTTCCAGTAGAATGACTTGCTACTCCGGCTATCGAAACTCATTATGTTTCAAGAAGAGATATTTAAACGCTAATTCTGAATAATCACTTCATTTCAAATACGACCGCTCACTTTGTAAACAAAGTGATTGTAGGATTCTTCTTATTGGCATAAATCTGCTTGTAAACGTCAATTTATTTGTCATTTCCAGAAAACATTACTAGGGGCTAAATACAGCCTCCCAACTCAAGAAGGGCGCAATGACAGAAGCCTGGGACGTACCACACTCGAATGAAACAATGCATAACGTAATCCTGTACTATAAAGTTCCAACACGATCATTTTAATTACGAGCGACCGAAGCAGTGGCAGCGACAGTTGTCGGTCTGAACCTGACATAAACCGCAAAGCCAAAGGTCAGGAGCTCACGGTCGCAGGCGACCAAGTCATTTTGCCGGTGTCAATTGAATTAATGCCTACGTGGCGAGACTCAGACCATGAGGCCTGCTCTTCCGTCTGACCACGCTACGCTCCTTTCACCAACTAGCAGAGAAAGGTATTTCTTGGGCGAGAAACAGGCGATTTGAATTTAGCTCGTTATTTAGGCTTGAGAATCTTTTACATGCAAGTAATTCTACTAACATGGGACAGCCGGCTTTACTTCTCCGAAGTAAGGCGTACGAAAGATTTTTTCTCTTAAAAATCCACGGCTTCGATCGGGTTTGAACCCGCCAACTTGGGTACTACAGTCCGATACGCTAACCGTTACACCATCGTCGCGCGCTCAATATTCATATGCCCTAATAAAGTGGAGACAATTTACTTAGACGGGTCCCTCGTCCCCATTCCGTGGCTAGGACCGCACATTACCTTCCCCACGTGCAGACGCGAAAGCTGGACGATTGCTAAGTTGGCAGAAACGAGGAGCGGACGGGCGAACCATTTGTTAGTAGAAAGGCGTCTTGGTAAGCGACCTTCAGTCGCCTAAATTTAGTGTTATCAAAACAGAAGCGAAGGGTGCTTCCCTGAAGAATGCATTCATTTCCGTGCTGTGACGCACGGCATTATCACACACCAACGTCATATACTCGTAAGTGCACTATCATTGTATCTTTAACAAACAGGAAAACTTGAAGAACATCAACAAACCTTCGTCAGGTTTAAAATATCCTCTTCCTATGGCCACACAGATGATGTGAATTACTTCCACTCTCAATTATTTTCTTGAGAAAGTGTTCCTGAATATTTCTGTAGGTTCTATTTCGGCCAAGAAGATAAAGGACGGATTTATGTTTTCAAGTTGAGAATACTGGAGATGTTCATTTTAATGATTTGGAACCCCACCCCCAAAAAACAATTTCATTGTTACAAATCCAAAAGGTCAACGTACAGAAATATACCTAAGTGAGCTGCCGAAAAACCAATCCTCACTTAGGCTGCAAAAAAAGCGACCGAGTCATAACCCTTCTAGATCAGACGTCCACAGTTTTCCCAGTGAACCTTAAGAGCACGCAGGATGAACTCTCATTTTGTGGCTAGAGAGCAAATATCTTCCTCTCCCCCTCTTAAAATGGCATAAGTGCTTACACATGTTAATTAATGAATTGTGACTAAATGTTTATTCACAAATAATGACTGTAAGTGAATTATAACTGAACAGAATGGACAAATAAATAGTAACAGGAGTAAATCAGTGATATGGTAGTTACAGTGGGCAAGAGAGGTAATGATGTGTGATTAAGTGGGAGGATGTCTAGGGGGATGGGTACAACTGTATTTATTTGTTTATGTGTGAATGGAATGGGAAAATCTGTATAATGTGAACATGAATCATGATCCTGCCAAGCATGTGTTCTAGTGTATTACATTGTATAATGAGGAATCTTGTCAAATACCGAAAAACCGCTGGTGCCTTGCGGTTCCGCTTTCAGTAATTTTTACTATATACAGCGTATCCGGGGAGCAAACGCCGAAACTTCGAAAATAAGCTCTTAGGACAATTTTAAGCATATTTTGTCTAATAAACTACGCGAATATACGGAATGGGTGAGCCGCAATAAGCACTCAATAGTTGGTGTGAAACAATGATTTATCAGCAAAAATGTCCATTTGAACATAGTACATACACGGTGTATACGTCTCCAAGTATAGTAACACTCCAGAAACACGTGAATTATTTATTATTTACAAAAGAAAAGAATATATTTGGTCAGAAAGGAAAATTAAGCGAGAAATAAAAAAGCAGTCGAATTGTGCAATTTTTTTTATTTTTTGGGTTATTTTTTTCTTTCTAAAGAAATATATTAATTTATTTTGTAAATATAAAACAACCTACATTTTATTGGAGTGTTTCTATGCTTCTGTAAAGCAAATGTTTGCCTGAAAATCATTTTTTTTTTCGAACCCAATTTTGAGTGCTTGGTGCGGCTCAGATACTCGAAATATCCACGTAGTATATTAGACAACACACACTTATGAGTTTATTTTCGAAGTTCCGACGTCTCCTCCTCGGGCATATATAGGCCTGTATAGGTGTAAACGTGTGTATACGTGTGTATACGTGTGTATACGTGTGTATACGTGTGTATACGTGTGTATACGTGTGTATACGTGTATATACGTGTATATACGTGTATATACGTATATATACGTGTATATACGTGTATACGTGTATATACGTGTCTATATGTGTGTATACGTGTCTATATGTGTGTATACGTGTATATACGTGTCTATATGTGTGTATACGTGTCTATATGTGTGTATACGTGTCTATATGTGTGTATACGTGTCTATATGTGTGTATATGTGTATATATGTGTATATATGTGTATATATGTGTGTATATGTGTCTATATGTCTGTATACGTGTATATATGTGTACATATGTGTGTCTGTGTGTATGAGTGTGTATATGTGTGTATGTGTGTATATGTGTATATATGTATACATGTACACATGCATCTATGTATGTATGTAAGAATGTACATGTACGTATGGGCGAGCGGACGGGTAGGAGGCGCACTCACCTCGCCGATGTGGTCGCGGATGCCGCCGCGGGCCATGGCGCGCAGCGTGTGCGTCACCATGGCGAGCGCGCGCCGCCCGGCGTCGGAGGCCGGGGCGCGCGCGTACTCGTGCAGCAGAAAGTCGAGCACGGGCGCCTGCGGGAACTTGGGCGCGTAGCCGAAGCCGCCGAACTCGGCCTCGAACTCGTGGGCGAAGGCGCGCAGGCAGCGCTCGGCGCACTCGGGCGGCACCTGAATTGCATTGAATTGCATTGAGTTGAATTGCATTGAATTGCATTGAATTGCATTGAATTGCATTGAATTGCATTTAATTGCTTTGAATTGCTTTGAATTGCTTTGAATTGCTTTGAATTGCTTTGAATTGCTTTGAATTGCTTTGAATTGCATTAAATTGCTTTGAATTGCATTACATTGCCATGTATTTCATTATATTGCATTGTATTGCATTGCATTGCATTGCATTGCATTGCATTGCATTGCATTGCATTGCATTGCATTGCATTGCATTGCATTGAATTGAATTGACTTGAATTAATGCCTTATTTTACGTGGCGAGACTAGGGCCATCAGACACCTGCGCGCGGCGACGGCAATTTTGGTCAAAACATCCATTCAGCACCAAGAGGCTTTGCATGTCGATGGAAACATCGATGTTTTAAATATGATAAAATAGACAGTAATGTCACATCCTCTTTCCATTTTTAATTAGTACTTAAATTGAAATGCCAGTACTCTTTATTGTTAGGTCATGTATAAGCAATTTGTTAATAATAATTTTTTTTATATATACCAGCATTATACACGACCTCTTCTGCTGCAAGAAATCGTTCATAATCGAACATTTTACTGCACCAAAAATGAATATTAGATTTTACGGCAAGAATTATTGCGCCATTCCACATTCGGTCAATCGTAGCGAGAGAATCGGGGGGGAGGTAGAGGTAAATGAAACAGCCGACCACAGTTTTCTCGCTCAGATGTCAAATACCTCAGTCGTCACAAGAAAGTTGTTTTACGAAATTAAAGTTGGATCCCCTTATACGTAAATTTATAATGCTGTTATACAAAAAACATAGCATATGCAACTCGTTTACAATGTTGATTATTGCATTCGTACAAACTTGAAAACTCACTTCTAACGGAGCTCGTTTTCAAAACATGAACTCATGCAATAAAGCTCAACGCTATAAACTACTATTATCGAATGGAAAGAAGAAACTAAATGAGTAAAAGAAATCGTGTTTTACGCTATTATTCCATATATTAACTTTCATTCATAAATCATCGAAGTAAAACATCCTGGGGACACATACATTCGTAAATTTTTACATACAATAGGTAATTAATACGTAAATATTAATTTAAAAAATATTCTGTCTTCAAGCACTTTGTTATCTTCATTTTTTAATCCGTATCCTGTACAAACAAATGTCAAAATCCAGTTTAACGATATTACTACGCACAAAATCGTCCAAAAAGATAAACTTATTTTTTTAAACATCGACACAAACATATCGATCTGAAAAAAAATATCGATGATAAAAGAGCAACGTTTCTGGTGAAAAAAACAGCAACGTTTCTGGTGGAAAAAACAGCAACGTTTCTGGTGGGGGAAAAAACAGCATCGTTTCTGATGGAAAAAACTGCAACGTTTCTGGTGGAAAAAACAGCAACGTTTCTGGTGAAAAAAACAGCAACGTTTCTGGTGAAAAAAACAGCAACGTTTCTGGTGGGAAAAAAAACAGAAACGTTTCTGTCGGAAAAAAAACAGCAACGTTTCTGGTGGGAAAAACAGCAACGTTTCTGGTGGAAAAAAACAGCAACGTTTCTGGTGGGAAAAAAATAACAACGTTTCTGGTGGAAAAAACAGCAACGTTTCTGGTGGAGAAAAAACAGCAACGTTTGTGGTGGGAAAAAAGCAACGTGTCTGGTGGGAAAAACAGCAACGTTTCTGGTGGGAAAAACAGCAACGTTTCTGGTGGGAAAAACAGCAACGTTTCTGGTGGGAAAAAAACAGCAACGTTTCTGGTGTAAAAAAACGTTTCTGGTGAAAAAAACGTTTCTGGTGGAAAAACAGCAAAGTTTCTGGTGGAAAAAACAGCAACGTTTCTGGTGGGGAAAAAAAGCAACGTTTCTGGTGGGAAAAAAACAGCAACGTGTCTGGTGGGAAAAAAACAGCAACGTTTCCGGTGGAAAATAAGGATGTTTGATTCCTACCTGCGCAGCCGCCGCCGTGGGGTCGGCGCCGCCGCTCGCCATGGCCGCCGAGGCGGCCGCCGCCGCGCGGCCCTCCATCTGCGCCGCCTGCCGCAGCAGCTCCGCCACGCGCTCGCCCGCCACCGTGAACTTGCTCCTGTTTTCGCGCCACTGCCGAACGCGAACACGCAGCGTTAACACGCGTTTGCTTTGCGTTCGCGGAGGGGGTGACTGAGTATTGCGTAGGGGGTGTCAACGACTTGGGTTATTAGTACCGGAAGAGTAGAGCGTGTTATATCTCGGGAGGCGTCGGTGTTACTTTCCCGCTGGAACAGATACGGCGCCAACCTATAGGTCGGCATGCGAGGTTTAGACTCTTTCACGTATCACCAACAGCGGGGCACCGCCCAAATCTGGGATATGGTCTATACTCCCAACCGGTCTCCCGAGATGCGTGATAAGAGTAGTGCAAATGTGTGTGTGTGTCTAAGGGGATACAAAGCGAGAAGGATGAAGAAGGAAAGATCGCGCGCACTCCATGGTCTCTTTGTTAGGGCATTACATCAGCATTAGTCTCATAGTGATCGGACAAACCACAGAAAACTACCGATCAGAACAGCCGGCCACTAGAGTTCTCCTCTGGACAGTGGTTGAATTCGACCCACCTATGAAGCTAGTGTCGAAAGTCCGCCACCGTCGGGACTCAAACCCTAGGATTTCCCGTGCGCGGAGTTGCCGCCGAGCTATCGCAGGCGATGCCAAAAGCATGAGCACACCTTCGGCCTTAAAATGCTCTTCCTTTACTGTCCGGAGGTCGACCGAACCTAAACTGTAACAGCCAATAGATGTTTCCGTACAAAACTACGAATTCACTTCAAAACTATTTTCTTAGCATTTTGCGAAATCTATTTCTGTAAAATTAAAATATGATGTTTGGTTCAATTACTATCGAGGACGTTTAGAAATAATAAAGAAGTAGCAATACTCAGAAATAATGGAAAATATTTTGACGAATGCTAAAAATAAGATCTGCAATGCTATCTTTCAGGTAACATTTAAGTCTTGATGGAGTCTGCTTCAATGATTGACAATCCAAACTTATAAAGTTTCATTACCTTAAGTTTTCTTTATGCCTTAATCAGTTTGGCGACACCACGAAAATTTGTTCTTCAAAAGCGAAAGTATTCATTGCAGTTAACTAGCATTTACTACAAAGCAAAAAAATCCTTTGTAGAAGTACACAAATTGTACAAGAAGTTTATAAAATTGGCAGAATAAAATAATACCTATTTAAAAAGTAAATAATTTATTTTATATGATCACAAAATCATTTGCATTTTTTTAAAATCATTGTTGTACAATCTTTGAAACCTATGAAAACATTAAATTAATCATTCCGTATTCAATTCGTTATATAATTTTAACATTGATGACCAACTGGAAAATTGTAGTTTTCTGGACATGCAAAACCCGCTTCTGCCGTCTATGTAATTCCTATTACATACTCCGAGAACTCCTTATTGTTCTCGTAATTATTTCACATCCTAAGCATTTACCCTACATGTTGTACATGGTCATACATACATTTCATTTTATTTTATTTCACTCTTAGCCCCATGAACAGTAGAACATTAAATATACGGAATTCGCGAAAAATATTGCTTGAAAGTAGTCTTTGGTTTAAGGCGATTGATGAGTCATAAATTCGTAAAAGCAAGTGTGAACTTATGGATCCAAAGAGCTCTCGTGCACTTATAAATCTCCTAAAATCAATGAGTGTTGAGCAAGAAGTGCTAATGCAGGGACTCACCTGCGTCTGCAGCACCTTGAGCAGCGTGCGGAAGCCGGGCATGCCGGACTCGTGGTCCTCGGGCGGGTAGTAGGTGCCGCCGTAGACGGGCAGCAGGTCGGGGGTGAGCCACACGCTCATGGGCCAGCCGCCGCTGCCGGAACTGGCTCGCCGCGCCCGACGCGCCAAAGCGCTCGTGTGTGCCCTGCGGCTCCTCTCGCCCGCTATTCGTCCCGCTGCCTCTCTGCTCGCCCTCGCTCTTGTTGCACGCCTCGTTCCCGCCCGCGCCAACCCGACCGATCGTACTCCGACTCAGACCGTAACCCGACCCGACCCGAACCGGTCGTACCCCGGCCAGACCAGATTCCTAGACCTCGACGCGACCCGAACCGAGCAGACCGATCCCGATCTCACCCGACTCGACTCTTCGACTCGACGATCTCTGACTCTAGATCTAGATCTCCGACTAGATCCCCGACAGACCAGACCTAGTATCAGACCGACTCAGACAGACTCGATCCGGCCGACCCAACCCGATCCGCCCTGTTCCCTGCCACGGCCCGCCCCGCCCTCCACCATCGCTTAATTCGCTGACTGATTAGCAACTCCGTCCGCGTCAACTGATAAGGTAATTAGTCCAGCAAGTGTAGTGCTTGTTTTGCTCGGGAGGTGGGGGTGGTCTTCTCTCGCTGGATGGTGAGATCCAGCGCCAACCTACCGTCGGCTAGCGGGGTTTTCCTCAACAAGGTATCTCTCACTAGCGGGGCACCGCCCCAGCCAAGACAAGCTTAAGCTTACGGACGGTCTCCCCGCTTGTGTGGTAGTGTAGCGCTTGTTAGTGTAAGTATGTGTAAGGAGTGAGAATATAACAAGGAAGGGAAAGGAAAGATCACGTGCGTTCCGCGAGCCGTTTGTTAAAGTTCTGCTCCGGCATGCGCCTGGTGTGGATCGGCGAAACCACGGAAAACTATCGATCAGAGCACTCGGCCGCTAGAATTCTCCTCCAGGTAACGATAAAACTCGTCCTAGCTCTCTAGCCAGAATCGAAAATCCTGCCACCGTTGTGGCTCGAACCTAGGACCTCCCGGACCAAACTGATGTAGTAACATGAATTGATGCCCCGCCACCTCTAACACTGCATTCGCCTTCACTGAGTTCGCAATGACGCTGGACAGAATAGGGACCTCTCCGAATTAAGGAACGTCCGGCCACCCACGCCATTCCTCTCCTACGAAATTGTATTCGATCAAAAGGGCGGCTCAAAACCAAGAATTCGGGTCAGACAGCAGACTGCCTGCGTGCCACTCGCCTTTCATTAAACTAGAGCCGATCGGGCACGAGCGCCTCCCCTCCCTCCGCAAGCAGCGGGCCACGTCGGTTGCCCGCAAAGCAGCGCTGGGCCAGGGCACATCAGGTGGGGCACGTACTTGACTACAGTACCGGCAGCGTATACGCGACTCTGACAGTTCAATGTGCTGTTGCTAAACATTACTACGCATGCACCACTTACATGGCAGATGAATTAAATCTCAATACATTAACACTTACTGACAGGCTATGACACGTCTTGAGACAATGTTCATAACTTTCGCCTAGCCGAACCTCATCGCCTCCGCGACTTCGAGTGAGTCAGATGAGGGACATCGCTGAACCCTGGCTGTAAGAAAGTAAACAAATCCTCGCAAGCTGATTGCTTCGGAGCAAGTCACATGACGTACCACAGCACGTGGCGAGAGAACTGTCAGAGTCACTTACTCGCAGCCGATGCTGTAGCCCCTGCTTTAGATGGAGACCCGAGATCAAAACACTACCGCCTTGACTAAAAATGACTTGCACATGGTGATCAATGGGTAAATCTTCCAAAACTAAGTGGGATGGGCTTCTTTAAGATTAAGTGTGAAAGTTGGATGGGAATTAGAATGCTTAAGTTGAGATCTATGAAGGGAGTAATATCATTCAGCAAAGTTACACAAAGAAAAAGTTACGTTATAATCTCGAAATTCCAAACAAAATAACGCGAATGTGCTATCATGTAACAGATCTAGACAAATAGACAGATATAATTTTATCCGAATATTGTTTGGGTGTATTGAAAAATTATTCGTGCTTAAGCAATCATGATTAGCCAAGTTAAAGAAGTTTAACTCCAACCCTGAGAGAAGTGAATAAGGCCACATGCAGCCCACGAGTTCAATCGCCAGTTCTTTATCACATCGACTACATCAAATCAATCATACAAGCATTAAGTGATTTATATATCAAAAACAAAATTATACAAGGCTGAATAAAATCATTGCTCTTTTGTGATGCACCTAATTCCGGTGACCTTGGGATTTGTGAAACTAGGCGATCGTGACAAAGATTATTTCGATATGCGATGTCAACTGGGTGTAATTTGAGACTCATGCTATTTATCAAGTGAAGAAAATAACCTGATACCGATGCAGAGAATACCCAAATATTATAGCAATATTCCAAGTCTCATGCGGTGTCACTGAACGAGGGGGAAGAGTATTCTATTGAAGAAGTGATACGGACACTTCAGCAGAGCATGCTCCTGGTCATTAATATGGTTTTAGTCCTAATTTAATACAAACGAATTTGTTCGAACTCAACTCTCATTGGAAGGAAAATCACGTGCAATAACTGATCTGATTTGACGAAGCACGAACAAAACTTCATAAGAGCAGTGCACTGTTTGGTTACAAGTCAAATCCCAGAGGTCGAAGCAATCCATTCTCTGCTGAACAATTTTCCTCGTATCTGTACACCAGCAGCGAACGCCCCAAATCGCCCCAAATCGGAAATTAAACGTCATCTAAATTCAATCGCGCCACGACAGAACACGCATCTCGGAGTGACATATGGCATATAAGCAAAGCACCGAAAGCTGTGGATTTGTGAAAAATAAATGAATCACTTGTTTCAATTCCATTAACTATATCGTTCCTTAAAATCCTCATAAATTTTCGTTTCCCTCAAATATTGCAAGTTATCTTATCATTTATCGTTCAGTGTCGACCTGATTACTGTTATCAACATTTCTAACGTAAGTTATACACATACAAATCCATATAATGGAACTACCTAATAAAAATGCAAGAACTTACGTAAATATCGAGCTTTCCTATTTTATTCCAACCAGAATCATTTTTTTTATTTTCTTTTTACACATAGATAATCATTATAGCTGATTAGAAAACAATAATCAATTGAAAATATCTCCACTTATGATTCCCAGGTGCGTCTTCTTTCTCCTCATACGTTTAAATGATTTCGTAAAATAATATTGTATAAAGGTTTGCATAATGAATTCTGCATCATCCCAAAGACGCATCCAGTCATTAGTCAGGATCGTTCAAGTATCCTAGGTGTGTATGTGTGTGTGTGGGGGGGGAGGCTGAATGGCACAAATCAATACTTTTCCAATATGGGCCATTAAAGTTTTCGATAGGAAACGAACAGCAAACCCTCCCTCAATTCGCACAATAGAAACTATAGGTCATCGATTTATTACAATAACAACAATAATAATAATAATAATTATTATTATTATTATTATTATTATTATTATAGAAACTTTCTTACCTGCACATAAGCCATATACATGTGGTCTACATCCGGCCGTTCTTCTCTGTCAACTTTAATATTCACAAAATGTTCGTTCATAATTTTCGCGATGTCGGCATTCTCAAACGTTTCGCGTTCCATTACGTGACACCAATGACAAGTTGAGTAACCCACTGAAAGAAATATAAGTTTGTCTTCCTTGCGTGCCTTCTCAAAAGCTTCATCTCCCCAAGGATACCTGCAAAAAATGAGATTTCACAAAAATGCAGCATCTCGAAACTAAACTGTTAATCATTAGCATAAAAAACTTCGTGTATTGTGTAATGTAATGAATTGCACTGTTTAAGATGACGTAAGTTCATCTTTGGAAATTCTTTCTGTTTTTAAAAAAATTACACATAAGTAATTTTTTGAAAGATTTCTCACGCCCTTAATATGAACATTTCCAGCAATTTGTAAACACTATTGTATTTGTGAATTAAAGTGCTTCAAATGATTTTATATCAAGTTTTTCGAAAACTCAAAAATTTTCTTTGCAAAGAGCTTCAAATTTTGAACAGTAACGCATAAACGTTGTTTTCTTAAAAACGGCTCCACATTTTTCAAATAAAGTTGCCTTTTAGAACGAGGTTTGACTCTTTTATAATATTCTTAAAGTAATATTCCCGTTCGGCTATTAGGAAATCCAAAATTTATGAATATGTTCTTTTAATGTACTTCGGACGGCGATAGATGGCAGTTGGCAAGGGTATGTGACAGGTCCGTATAGCTAGCCGAGACCAAAGGAAATAGAAAACTAATACGGCTAAGTCTGTGCCATTCTGTAGCACCACTAGTTTTACATTGTCACCTCCAATATTATATTATTGCAACAACATTTTGCATATTTTAATATCACAAGGAGACAGTCGTCAACTGAAAATTTCTAAATTTCCGTTACTGTCAAAGAAACCCACTTCTTATTGTCCTTGAAAAGCCTTGGCAGACAGAAATACATAGTTATGTTTGGTAAACCGTGCATACGTTACTGAAACTAATATTTTACCTAATAGTCATTGAAGAATTGAAAACTACGGGAAAGAAATTATTATTACTACGATATTAGCAATGAGAAAAAAGAAACAGTCTGAAGGGCATTCAAATATGCGTTGTATTCAAATTGTAAAGCTGGTGTTAAAATAATTATATGAGCTGCACGATTGTAAACCTGTAAGTGTTGTAAGACGTTCAGTAGGAATGGATAATATCACAGAAGTTAATAGTTATTTTCTCTTCGAAACAAGAATCCCTCTTGAAGTGGGATAGGCTGTTTTGATCCCAAAATGGGTTTCATTTGATGACATGAGATCCTTGTAGCTTTAACTTCCAGATATTGTGATCTAGCTACATTAGTGGTATCTTTTCTTTTCAGTAGACTCTTTTTATAGAGATAATTCTATATTTTCAAAGTCTCATAAACATAAAAAACTCGTCTTAACCTCCGCATTTCTAAGCATTTCGGTGATGGCATTGGACTTACCAGTCAACTGGGTTGTAGGCATGCTGCAACAAATACGGAGACTTTTCAAGTGCTAGACGGTTCTCTGTTCTAGTCTTTATTCCGTTTGAACTGGAAGCCATTGTTCGCGCAAGAGAAAATCTGTAAAATACGTAATAAAATACTACTTCTCTTATAATATACTCAAATCTTCACTGTCAAAGTTAATATAATTTTCTATTATTTTCACAATTTTTTATTATTGTTAGTGTTAATAACAGGGGAGACTTGTACCTTTGAACATTTGACAAACAAATCACATATTTTATTTTTCATGAATTCAAAACATATAATAATAAAGAAACATATTTAGCATTGAATCATGTCCTTGATATGAATGACATACATCACATTCCGGTTCTTTTGAAAGAAAAAGCCAAAATCTGCAAAAGTGTTCTATGATAGATGGTCTTGGACCAGTCAGCACAAGCTAGTGTACCAATAAACACATCTTTTAAGCGTAAATTAAAGAACAAAAACCTATCTTTTCCATTGTAATTAATAACTTTCATAGTAACTAAATGTTTTTAAAATAGCCTTTTAGTTGCATACAGCACACATTTATTTCATAATATATTTCGAACTATTAACGAAATTAACCCCCAGAAGTTGTTCATTATGTCATTGTGACCTCTCAAGTTTCATTATTTAGGGAGTTATATAACTACCAAGTTTCAAATTCATGAACGTCATATGGCATAAAGAAATTTGTTTCGGTAACGCGTTTCAAACACCTCTCTTGATAATCAGATCTGACATTATCAACATCTATAATTTCCCATTGTAGAATCACGACCACTGACGAATACTAAAATAAAATTGGTTCACGGGATTGGTCTGTGTGGGTAAAGAAACAATTAGCTGTGCCAACATTTCGAAATATTTAATTTCTTCATCAAGAGCTAGAGTATAAAACAAATAAACAGTGCATGAGGACAACAAACATTTCAATAAATTGATACATTAATTAATTAACACTACACAAACAACAACAAAATATTTTCTTTCAAACGAAGACAAATAAAACACCAAAATATAAAAGGTACGTATATTACCAATCATAAAAGTCAAGTCTCATTTGAAGCCACCACACCCAACTCCACATGGAGTTGCTAAAGCACGGGGGTCCATCGCGCATCAAGTGTGAATCAGGCCAAGGCCCTAACCGCAAATGAATGAGACCTGGTTGAATTGAATGGACTACGCGCTACCGCCACCAGTCCTCAATTCATTTGCGGTTAGGGCCTTGGCCTGATTCACACTTGATGCGCGATGGACCCACGTGCTTCAGTAACTCCATGAGAACTTGGGTGTGATGGCTTCAAATGAGACTTGACATTTATGATTATTAGTAAGATGCGTACCTTTTATATTTTGGTGTTTTATTTGCCTTAGCTTAAGAAATATTTTGTTGTTGTGTTTGTGTAGTGTTAATTTATTAATGAATCAATTTATTGAAATGTTTGTTCTCCTCATGAACTGTTCATTTGTTTCATACTCTAGCTCTTGATGAAGAAATTAAATATTTCGAAACGTTTCCACAACTGTTTCTTTACCCACACTGACTAATCCCGTGAACCAATTTTATTTTACCTTCAATTTATCCTGTATAATTGGCATTGCTTTAATTGAACATCAATCATTGGTATTGGTAACATCGGCATTGCTTAACCGAACAAACACATAGTCTCCAACTTCACAATTACAACATTCATGTTTCATAACAATTTCATCGACATCCTTCAAAATATTAGTCACTATTTCATCATCTTCATTCCTATCTTCCAGGAGCATAACGTCTTAAACGCCATCAGAATACGTGTCTTCGATAAGTCGTATGCTACGGGTACTATCGTGTTAACACGTACGTTACGTACAATTGCACACAAATACAAGCTGATGTATAGCTCAGAAGAAGACATGCTGCTACTGATATAAATTACGTTAATAATTTCACAAAAATACTCAGGGTATTATTGACAATCAACATGCGCGGTCAGATTAGTTTATTTAAGCCAATCATAAACATTGAAAAAAATTAAACACAAAATTCTATTTTTCGGTGACAAAAAAAACTTGCCTGCAAAAATAAAATGACTTCTTAACACCATGATGTTAGAACACTAGGGACATCTGGCTGTACTAGACAACTAACATGATTAGACACCCCAAACCGGCACTGACATGGCCTAAAAGATGGTGTTCAAAGGTACACTGTGTCAAAGGTACACAAGTCTCCCCAAAAGATTAGATCTAATATTGTTATGTCTACAATTTTACTTTACACAATAGTTTATTAATACATGGTCTACAAAAATACAATAGCAAACATACTACCAATCAAAAATAGTGGCGTCGTATAACTTACAGTTTAACCTTTCTGTCAGGTAGCAAGTTCTCCACAAGTTTGAATATTACTCTACAACGAATCATTGTCAACATCACTGAAGTTGCGGTTGCCTCGTAGTATCATTGAGGGCAGTAACATTCAATGAAACTGCTCTGTCAAATATAGTCTGAAATTTGAATGCCATGAACTTATTCCATTTCTTTTGACTTTAACTACATTTTTTTCACAATCAAAATACTAAATTTTACTTTCCAATACCCTGGATGATCCAGCATTAGTTCTTATGTTTTTAATATGCGCCCAGAATATCACATTACATTAATACACTATGTGGACATTTTCAGTAAGTCGTCTGGTACACAAGTAAATGCTTTTTTTATTCGTGAAACATGGATGGCTTCAAAACAGGAGGACAAAGAGGACACAAGTTGAAAGTAAGGTCTGCAAAATAGGATGTACGTGCATGTTGATATGAATGAGTTCAATTAGTGTCAACGCAATATATTATATAAAAATGAGCAGCCAATAATAAATTAGTGATGCTAAAACAGCAAGTACTTTCTCGCCCGTACTTTCACGCAAAATTACGCGAAAAGTACTCTAATTCGCGAAAAATTGTACATGACCTCATTTCAAAATCTATCTTCAAGGAATTGATTTCGTTAAGGGAAAAATCTCGATCTTCATAATTGTAGTTGTAGGAAGAATTAGAAAAAAGTTTGACTCTTGGAATTTTCTAAAAATCAGTTTTCATCGAAAATGAGCCCTACATCATTCTCTTAAACGTCCTTTACACTATCTAACAACAAAATGTAATCATAAACAATGGAGCCATTTTTTCCATTTTGACAATGTCCCAGGGGCTTCATGTAAAGTACCTCCCAAAATTAAAATATCGTATTCAAATTCAGGGGACCGCGACATCATCCAGATTGATTGTGTAATATCAATTTTGGAGAAAATCGGCTGAACGGTTTAGCCGCTAGCGTTGTTCACAGACGGACAAACGGACGGACTCAAGACGTTTTGTTGTCATTCCATTATTCGGTATCAAGGACTCACAAAACGTGGACTCTGGCTACACCACGTGTTAGAGGTTTTTTTTACTAAATTTATCAACAGGATTTATCCACTTTTGCGTAATTAGGGCACGACCAGAAGAGTTTTTCTGCAAAAAAAACGCTGTTGTTTCGAGTAACATTACTTAACTTTCTCTCTACTGCAAAAGCAGTAGCGATAAATGTAAAAATACGGTAGTTGAGATACAAAATGATACCCCAAAATGTACAGTAGAAGTGTGTATTTAAAAACATGCACAGTTGATAGTCAAATGCAATCCCAACGCATCAGGGCGTCATTGTAGGCGGGGGGCAGCGTATGGAACCGGGAGTGTTAAAGAGGAGCAAGAGGGGCGGAAGAGGAAGGCTGAACGGAATGAAAGCAAGGAGAAGGAAAGGAAGGAGCGGAAGAAACGAAAGGCGTGATTACACAGAAAAGGGACTGGATGGGTAGGCGGGCGGCGGTGTGGGTAAGACGCCCATTCAAGACCGGGCAGGGCATAAGGGGAAAAACGGAACAAACGAGGCGAGTGAGTCTGCATAGAATATGATTTTGATAAATAAAATACCGGGCAACGCCGGACAATTATCAGCTAGTAACTGATATTACAGAGAAATGCAAAGACGACAAAATACAAGGGATGGAGGAAATTAGATAAGAAGGCAGATGAAGGAAACGTGAACGAGAAAGCGAACGAAAGAGAATAAAGTGAGACATTATGACAAGCGAAGAGATTCCTCCTTACTTTTTCAAGCAGTTGGAAAGAATTCACAGGACACCGACACCATAAAACCACAAACTTCAATTAATTAACGAACAAATAATACAATTCCTTACTGAAAAAAGCAGTTAATCCCCTAAAAAGAACACATTCATCTGCAATTCTCTCCGACTGTAACAGTTCTTGAAGCTTCTAAAACAATCCAGAAAGACGCTGCTAACTTTTCTTATTTTGAATAAACTGTAGAGCATTGTTTGGCATTTTTTTTAATAATTCCCGATTAGTATTCAAATTAAACTGAAACCAGAAAAGCTATTCGATATCTAATATGTTAATAATGGTTTGAAAAGTACTGCGTAACGAGTGACGTCCCAACGCGGTTTCAAACTGTTTCAAACATTTTCGTGGAATTCTGAATCGTCGAAGAGAGATGCGATTATCAATTAGTTTGTGCAAAATAAATTCATCTTTCTTTATTTATCGTCCAAAAAAATAAAACTTTATGTCAAAGTCACATTTTCATATCACGTTACTCTTCATTAAAGAAAATTAAAATATCTGCGAAAGTGTGATTTCAAAAAGGAACGAAAAATACGAATACTGAAATGAAAATTTTACTTACATTTATCAAAATATCAAAATAAATCTCACAAAGATGTTACTTGCCCCAGCGCTTGTGTTGCAGTCTCCTTATTGTTCATCCTGCCTCCGAGGCGCATTGAAACTCGTTTGGAACTAGGAGGGAGAAAAGTCGCTCATTGCTACACGCCTTCTACCTGGTGGCTGCTTCAAGCTCTCGCAGCTCACTGACGTCAATAGGGGTTTCAAACAACCGTAAGATATTCGGGGAATGGTACTACCATAACAACACAATCCGTGCTATGACGCAGCTACCACACAACTGAACAATAACAAAAACAAAGTAACTTCCACAAATTTAAAATAACTGGCGATCGTATGTCAATATTAAATATCTAATGAAATATATTTTTTGACAGTCTAATAAGCTGTATATTCGAGTATTTATATAGCCTATTTATATGGACTGAGTAGTATATAGACTTTTAGTCTCAATGATTAGTCTATTAGTCTCAGATTTCAGTGGCTAAGCGAAAAAATGTCTATGTTAATAAACTTAATAATATTATTTATAAATATATAATAAATAATAAAATTAAATACAATTTCTGAACAAAAGAATCTTTATTTACAATGAGTTTATATGTGCCCAAACCCCATAAACACCCCCTTTTTCACCTTTTGAGCTCTTTTAAATAAAGGAATGAAAATTATTGAATTGTTTTAAATATGTACGTTATATAATGTAATTTTTTACGTGATTTTGGTTCAGTTAGTACCTACTACATACCCAAAACAACCTCCAAATCATAAAAACATTGACTCAGTTCCACATTAGAGGGAATATGGCTAATTTTACTTTATGACCATAAAAATATACAAATTTCAAATGGCCATATGTTGGTGAATTTTTAGTTGACATAAAATTCATTATTCAAAACTTTCAGTTTATATATAATTTAAGTTTGATATCTCCACTTTAAGAATCGTGCTTCGAACAATTTAGACACTTCACTGCAATCAGCTAAATTTTGAGTCGTGCGCAGACAGTGCCACCTCTGTTAAATCCTCAGATTTGAGCTTCGCCGCTGTATGATTTCTTTATTCACTGTTATGCTGTGATTAACATGCTCGTGGCGAATTCGGAATTTGGTTGATTTTGGTAGATTCTGAAGTTTCTAGATTTTAGAAAACGCTGTATGATGTTTGGAAGCCCATCAGTTCGCATATTTGCGTGGTATAGGAAAAGTAATGTAATGTTGCGTCGACAAATGGCGCTTTTTCGGTAGAAAAATACGCATTGTAGGTCCCTGCAGTGGCTGTTTTTCACGGGAGGGGATGAAGGAAAGTCCTCCTCGCACATTTTCTTCTCTTGAATGAAATTTCCAGATACAATAATTTCTTTGATGAAAAGAAGGAAAATGCATACATATTTTTTCGAAAGTATATATGTAGAAGTACATATTTCGTAAGTAGGAAAATGCATATAGTAGTTCATAGTTATCAGAAATTGTCTTTGATCGAGTTTTTAAACATCGCACGCTTTTAGGCGACGCGAGAACTCAAAATCGCCTAGAGCAAAAATTCTCAGCGTTTTCTCCCCTCGTGTAGTAAAGGCCCGTATCGCACAGCGCCAAATGAGTATAAAATGATTGATTCCTCGCTGTAGAGAAGTAACGTGCACCTACCCCGATGATCAAGTCTGAGCCCCGGTAGGATGCACAATCAAGTGGCCCCGCGATGCCCGATTCGCGAAATAATAATAATAATAATAATAATAATAATAATAATAATAAAGATAATGATAATAATATTAATAATAAAGATAATAATAATAATAATAATAATAATAATAATAATAATAATAATAATAATAATAATAAAGATAATAATAATAATAAAGATAATAATAATAATTATTATTATTATTATCATCATCATCATAATTTGCCGATGAGATGGCCGAGATCGCGAAGACAGTAGTGCCGTAACTGTCACGGACCAGAAGATCGCAAGCTGGAGCCCTACCTCGGGCACGTTGTGTTGTGTACTAGCATGTCTGTATGTGTGTGTCGTCCTTTCACCCCTCACTATCATCATTACATCACCTTCCATACCCCCAGGGCTAACAACCCTGGAGGGAGAAAGCTCGGGCCTAGCTAAATTCTGATCCCATAATAAAAAACATTACATGCACCTGCCACCGAGTTAATGTTACTGAGCCCCAGTAGACGGCAGGTACAGTCAGGCGTAGTCCAAGTCGGGTTATTCGCGAGCAAAAATAAAAAAAAATAAAAATAAAAAACACACACACAACAACATTTCAAGAACACTAATAACTGAAGTTGCCCATGTAGCCTGTAAATTTAAAATACTAAAAATTTTCTGTTTCAAAGAAGTTTGAACATCCCACACATTCCATTTCATTAGTCTCGGTACGTACTGCACGATATGGAACAATAGTTTGAGGTTTTCCATTTCCCTTGTACTACATACGCTTTACTTTTCTATTGTAACTTTTCTACAATTTTTCCTGTAGTCCGATGTCATTGCAGGGGTTTTACTAGCAAATTATAAAATAATATTCTCCCAGTTTTGTATAATTTAACAGAACAGCTTTACGGGCGGATAATAGGAACGTTTGGGTAGCTCGATGCTATGAGCGCATACCCTTCAAACGTTTCGCGGTGCCAGCAGATAAGCATACAAAGGACCCCGACGTCAAACGTCCGTTCACGACGGAGCCTTATCACTGCTTCTGACATCTACAGACCGCGACAAATTAAGTATAACTTCAAGCAGCCCCA